GGGCCCGCGGCCCCTCCGCGGGTGTTGCTTGATGGGCCCGGCCTGGGCTAGAGGTCCTGCCGCTGGCCTGAAGCGACCCACCGGCTTGATGCCCAGGCGGACAGGGCTCCTCAGACTCGGGGGATCCGGAGCAGAGCGGCCGGGAGAGCCGCCTCCCCTGGTGCCCGGAGAAGGGGGGTGGCTTGCTTTTGGCCTTGCCTCGCAGAAGACAGATGGTTTCTTGTCATTTCACCATTTTTGCCATCTCTTGCCCGGTGTTGCTTAAATAAATCTTCTCTTTCTTGGCCCCCGCTACACTCCGTTGTTCCTCATGTGTCTGTATCGTGTCGGAAGTTGTGACTCGCGCACACAGCAGAAGGCTCTTCATGAGTATGAAGCGCACCGGGGAGCGCTTGCAGGATGGATCTTCTAATTAGAAGACAGTTAAGTGACTAAGTGTTTTGAAAATGTTGAGGGTGATAATTTAGTTGTTAACTTTTTGCGCAATGCCAGGCATAGTGTGGTTGCCCTGCGAATCATATATAATGCTCTTGCATAGCGCGTTAAAAAGCTTGGGCTGAAGCTGTGTGCCACCGAGGAGGGGAAGCGCAGCTGAGGCTTTGTGGCAGTGCCAAGCCTGTAGCTTTCAGTGTGGTGTTACAGTTTCGAATATGCATTCCCAAGAGATGAAGGCTCAGAAGTAGTGTTGGTTCAACATGTGAACTGTTCCCATCTGAGAGGAAACCCTGAGTAAAATACAAGGCTTAAAGGAAAGAGACATGGTCTCCTCTGTCTGTTGGCACGCTAGCTTCCCGGTCCAGAAGAAGGAGGTGATGTCTTCTTCAGAGATCTTAATTTCTATTTTCATGAAAGGTGATAACAGTAAATATCTTTGCTGTGTCTGAGCATCGTGAACTCAGGCTGTCTGAGGCACTGAAGAATCTTTACGTGAGTGTTGGTCACCTTGCTCCCTTCCCCCGTTGCTCTGTTTGAGGCATGCCAGAAGGTCGTAGAGCCAGTGGGCAGAGAAAATTTGGAAACTGGGATAAAACAAATAGGAACAATATGTGTAGGGTGAGAAACCAGGACAGAAACTACTGCATCATGCTAATTTGGGACAAGCTTGCGTTGCTTGTTACAAACATTCACTGATGTGTACGCACCCAAGTGCCCTTGTTGTGGTGAGGCTGTTTACCTCGTAGTAAAAATCTGTTGCTGGTGCCTTGAATAACTTGCAGCTGCAGTGGTTGTATAAAAGCAGTAAGTGATTTCCTTGCATAGGAAAGTCCTGTTACGTTTTGATAAGCTTTCACAATTAAATGTCATGTAGTTGCTGAATGACATATTAAATAAATGGAAATCAGGTAAATGCAGGTTTTGTATACTGAAACTGGTTTATGCCAGAATAAAATTGGACCTTTGATCATCAGCATTTCTAGGAAAAAAAAAAAAGTAAGCTCCGATCAGTGTTTATGTCAGTATTGCCATGTGGGACAGCTGATGATTCTTAATTAAGTTGGAAATATTGGTATTTGAAGAACTACAAGAAGCAAAGTCTTGTTAGAGGGAGATATCAGGAGATAGTATAAAATGGGGAAATAGCGGCTGCGGGGAAATTATTAATTTCATCAAAGACAGGGACTTTGGCTGGTCTTGCGCAGTATTTTAGTTGATGGCCTTGGTGCACAAAACAGGATGCAGCAATGATGTTTGCTGATGACCCAAAGCTGGAAACCATTTGCAGGGCTGAAGAGGACTGAGACAGCCTACAGGAAAAATGCGGTGACATTGAGTGTCGGAGTAAATAGTACGTATGGGCTGAAATTCAGCGTGCAAGGTTTGGGGCTGGTACCAAGGGACAAGGAGTTCAGTAACAGGAAAGAAGAGAGACTTGAGCGTAGTAATGTATCACAAGGTGTGAGCAAGTGCTTTATGGCAGTGAAGAAAGAAATTGTGATCCTCGGTGTGCAGCAGAAGAGCTCATTTAAAGAGAAGGACAAAAGTGTGAACTTTCTTGCCCAAGGCTCTAAGGGCGAAACCTGGGATTGTATACATCAGCCCTGGTCATGCATTAAAAAAAAAAGGGATGTGCAGACTTCAGGAAGGGCCAAGAGCTGTTGGGATGGTGAAGTAAGTGGAAAGTCAAGAGTTTAGCTTGTTTTCCTAGTCAAGCTGAAGCTAAGAAGGGACGTTACAGTTTAAAAGCCCCCATTAGGTACGGTATTCCTGCAGAGTTTGTGATTGAGACCTACGGTCTCCAATGCTGTGTATTGGAAAGATTTCTGTTCCTGGGATCACCTGGTGGGCAGAGCCCCAGGGACAGGGGAGACTCTCAGCTGAAATAGTGATGTATTTGTGACTCTGTGCTTTCTTTCCCGGAGGCTAAATGTATTGTCCAAGTTCCACTGCCATGCCATCCGGAGGAGGGAAAAAACAAACAAAGTGAGGAGCACCTCCTTTTTGCTTGAGGGAAGTGCGTGGCAGTGCTAGTGCCAGCCTTGATGGAGACATCTGCTCAGTGCAAGCCAGGAAGCTGACTAAGAAGCCAGACATCGCCTTGCCCTCTTTCCCCCCAAGATGTGTTCATGATTACAAATAACGCGGGGAATCAGATGTGTAGAAAAGATTGTGCATTTTTAGGAGGACTCTGCTGCCTCCCCGAACTGCCAGTGGGAAGTTATGTGTGCTCAGAACTTTTTTTTTTTTCCTCTTGTTTTGCCTGTTGGAACTTTTTCTGAGTGATGGGGGATGCCACGGCGTGGCATTGCATCTGTACTACATCACCTGTAGTGTCTTAACGAGCCTGGAAGCACTCAACTTCCCTTTTGGCTTTCAATCAACGGAAGTGAATGCTGCGTCCTCTGCGCTGCTGCTGCATCTTCTGAGAGCTTCCTTGGGATCTGCTGAAGCCGGGGAGGAAGGGGGATGGAGGTGCTGGTTTGGTTCCCGTTGTGCCCACCTGGCCATAAGTAAGAGTTAACAAAAGCCGCTGCCAGTTGGCAGTTTCAAATTTAAAAACAATGTCAGGGCTTTTTTTCTTAAGTTCCAGGTGGCTAAGCTGTCGATCAAAATCGTTGTTATACATGAATGTGGCACTGAATCCATGTATAACAAGACTCATGATGGACAGTTTTTTGTTTTTTTGTTGTTTTTTTTTTCTCAAAAAGAGTGATTGGGATGGGAACTCGGCCGTTCCTGGAGTGCCGGCAGAGTTACTCATGTAGGACTCTACCTAGTGCACGGGCAGGGGGGGCTCCGTTTCCCTTCAGTCCCAGTTTTTTTTGTGCCTGATTACAATTACGGTTTGTAATAATATAAGGCAGTTTTCACCAAAAGTGTGTTACTTTGGTAAATACTTCTCTATATGGAGATTACTTGCCTGGTTTGATGAGTTTGGGTTTATAAAAATGGATGTGCTGCAGGATTGCTGAAATTCTGACTCTGTCCTCAAAAATACTTCTCAGATTTCACTTTCCAGTCGAGAAATGTTTTCTGGCGTCTCTTCAAGATCTCTGAACCCCTGTGGGCTGACTTGAAACTAAGGGCTGTGTTTACTTGCTTCTGAATTACATAATCTCCAGTTGTTGCTTAAAGGAGGGGAGAAACACAACTTGTTGCAAAGCAAGCCTTTCTTCCATCTGATACTGGTTTCCTTTCTTCACCTCTGGTTTCACATTCCTAACTGTCCCAACCCACGTGTTTCCTTCTCCTCCATCTCCTAGTAGGCAAGCTATTTGTAAAACCTGTTTTATTTGTAAGGCATTTTTTGCAGCTGTGGTTGGTTCTGCTCTCAAATGGCTAACTGCCTCCTCAGAAAATTCAGACAAATACAATAGCCATATTTTTTAACCAATCTCCAATTTATTTAAGAGAAATATATTTTAATATTTCTTATAGCTGCATTTTTCACCCTTTTTTATTATTTTTCAGGGTTTGGGTGTCTCCTAATTGAGAAGAGTCAAAATACTGATTGCAAGTGAATCCTCCTTAGTCAGTCTGTTGGATGTTTCTGAGAACATAAGAAGTCATGGCAGAAAACGATGCAATGCCAACCTTACCAAAAAAGTGTGGCCCCTACATTTCGTCTGTAACCAGTCGTGGCATGAATTTGGTAATTCGTGGTATAGTGCTGTTTTTTATTGGCGTATTTCTTGCGTTAGTGTTAAACTTGCTTCAGATCCAGAGAAACGTTACTCTCTTCCCCCCTGATGTGATCACAAGCATCTTCTCCTCAGCTTGGTGGGTCCCACCTTGCTGTGGGACAGCGTCAGGTAAGTTCAGTCATGTATGTATGCCTGGCATGAGATGAAAGGGTGGATAGGTAGTTATAAAAAACTATATGAAAGGTGTGGAAGGTAAAAATTTCTCTTCCAGCATCACTGCCCTTTTTGAGCTATTACTATCCTTCTGATCTACCTGTGTAATCACAAATATGCATGCATGTGTCCAGAAATTGTTGTTCTGCTACCTTGTTTACTGTAATATTGTTAGCATTGCTTTTTCTGCTTGGCTAGAGTAGAAGTTCAACAGACTTTAGAATGTTGTGCCACTTGTAACCTTGAGGCTGAATTACAGGAGTGTGCTCTACGGGCAGCCCTTGAAAATACCCTGGAAGTGTCAGATTGGGGCACACAGCACCTTGAGCGCAGCAAACCACCCTGAGTAACGCTCCCTTTTGCGGTCCGCTCCCTTTTGCGGTCCGCTCCCTTTTGCGGTCCAGCTTCCCATTTGTCCCTCCTTCCAGTTCGAGGTACCGCTTTAACTCCGTAAAGCTGGGAGACCTGGCTGTGTCTCAGGGCGCTGAGGCCAGGCATGCAGTTTGTGGCTGTAGAGGCACGCTGCAGAACAGAGCACCTTGGTTAGATTCATGTATCGTCGGATGGTGTGAACACGCTCCGTTTCTCCCGTGGCCACGTAGGGAGTTGAGGCTTTTGCGTGTTTAGCTAGTTTAAGTGAGATGTCTACTGTAGGTAGTAAGAAATAACCCTTTTTCCTCTTCTTTGATGTAGTCCATGTTACAAGCCTGATGGAATTTGGCTTTCTACTTGGCCCTGAAGATCACTGATCCCATGCGTCAGTTTTGTGCTTTACTAAGGGAATGTTCTTGGCAGCCGCTACTGGAAGATTCTGCCTTAGCAAACCTTTACAGTAAAGGTGGTATCTTCCTAGAGATCAGTTTTAAAAAAAATGAGAAGCTCATATTTCTGGGTATTAATATGAGTCAATAAATAAGCTTTTGAGTTGGCATTACTGTTTTGCTAATGAAAATACTTAAGTCTATTTTTTCCCCTTTGTCTAATTGCTTTTTTTTTTGATACTTTGTTGAAATACTGCACCCCAGATGTCATAGAGAAGCTTGATTTGAAAGGAAACCCTCCAAATATCTCTCTGAATGTGTCAGTTTTTCTCTCCTGTGGAAAAACGTTTGGCATGTTGTGGCAGCAGTTACATACCTGCTTTATCTGCTAGTTGTCTTAATCCTCTTTCTGTGGTCTTGCCAAGATCGTAGATTAGTTTTTTTGGTTTGTATCCTGCATTTGCTGTGTTTTTCTTTTTTTACTTTAAACTGATTGTCTTGACAAACATGTCTGGTAAAGGTTTGATCTTTTATATATGGAGTAGTGGGGGTTGAAATGGCAGGATCCCTTGAAATGGCAGCAGCACCATGTAAGGTTTGCAGTGTTCACTGTCATGTTTGCATCAGGCTGCACCTTCTGCTCTCTTGGGTCGTCTGAGAACACTGTCTGCAGCTGCATGTGGGATGTTGTGAAGGCTAGGTCTTGCCATTGTCTCAGAAGGAACTCGTGCACCTTTCTGGTTCTGGTGGGTTGGTGGTTTTGATGGAAAGACTGGATGTGACTTGCAAAGTGTAGTCACTAGGCATTTGCACTACTTGATTTTTAAGCCACCTGACTTAAAGATACTACTGCCTTAATTGGCCTTTCCCAGCAGGAGTAACCCCTGTTGAGGTGTTCAAGTTCTTTCTTTTTTATTATCATCTTTTCTTCTCCGTTTTCTTTCCTTATCTTCTCTGGTAGCATACAAACAGGGAACCTCTGTGGTAAATGCTGATAATTTACCCATGTTCTTACCATTCATACTTGCACAGCCTTCCTGGAATTGACAGAAACATTTCTTTGCAGTATGGTTTATTATTATGAACAGAGTAAAGGTATTTCAAATGTTTATAATCAGTGGTGATCGAGGCTGCTTTCAGAGAAGTCCGTCAGTGTTGTTAGTCATCAGTTTGGCCCAATGCCTTTGGCAAGAAAATTACTCAGGGAGGTTTTTTTCCTCTCCAGCTTTACTGGTGATTTATTTTCCTGAATCCTGGAGATCAGTTTCCTCTCTGGCAGAATAAAGAGCATTTGCCATAACGTACTTCCAACAGCATGCCAGGCTGAGGGCACTGGAGTCCGTATCAGTGACTCAGACTCTGCTCCCCTACTGTGGCACCAGTTTAACATTAAGCACCAGTGTTATTCCTCAGCGGTGTTGTCTTTCTAGCTGCAGTTGCAGCAGAGAACACATTTATGAAGAGATGTTTGAAGAGCATGGCAGTTCCATGGGCTTGAAAGTCCCGTTTGCTTTCTGTATTCAGCAGCTATGGTAGGCTCTTGGCTTTCCCTCTCCTGTGTGAGCCTTTATAGCAGCACTGAAGAAGAGAAAAACATTATCCAAACAAAAACTGCTTGTAACAACAATGAAAGAAGACACAAAATCCTGATGTTACAAACCACACTTTGCCCTTACTGTGGTGTGTTTGTTTGCAGTTATTTAAACATGTATGTTTGACATGTGGGATTTTCAAAAGGGCCAGCCTGCGAGCTATTCCTGCTCTTTTTGAACTATAATGTGAGGCTGCAGATTTTGGCAGGGTGCAGAGCTCTGTCATCCTCCGCCCCTAGTTCAAATTGTCTCTGTTCTGCTACTTCTGCCAGGTCACTGCTGCAGTGGTTGAAGATGCTGCTGGAGTTTTACAGGACTTTTTAAAATAATGAAATTGTTTGAAATTCCGCTTCTTTTACAATGTGTGTTTTGTACGATTTATCCTTAAAAGATCTGTTTCAGTAGCGACAATAATTATTGAAATCTAAATAGTCTTTATTTTAGTTAAATATTGCCAGTTCTTTACCTTCTGGACCTTTTTTCTTTCCTGTCTCCACAGCTGTGATTGGGTTATTGTACCCCTGCATGGACAGACATCTGGGAGAGCCACATAAATTTAAGAGAGAATGGTCCAGTGTGATGCGATGTGTAGCAGTCTTTGTGGGAATAAATCATGCCAGCGCTGTATCCTATATTCTAATGAAATTGGTGATAATGAACGGGTTTCTGCTAAAACAAAGCTCACATAGTCAGTCATGGTAAATATGTTGTGAAAGATATAACGTGCAGCATTTTTGTAAGGGAATTGCAGAATATTAACAGTGTTAAACTGTTGTAGCAGTATTGGCTGTGATAAGTCTCATGTCTTTTTGTTCTGAAAAAGCTTTTCATTAGAAATGTCTCAGTATTGGGCTTTGTCTTGCTTACAGTCTTTATTTTCTTTGAATAATTAAAGTCAGTGTGGGGAAATATTTATGTGGTAGGCATTACCACAGAAAAGTGCTTTAAGACATTCCAAGGGTTGATGTCCTTTTAACACCGTAGTAAGAGGTTGAAACCCAGTCTTGAGGTCATCAGTGAAGCACATGCATTTTGCAAAGAACGGGGAAAACTTGGGACCAGGTGATACCCAGGATTACACAAAGCAAGTGAGTGTTGTTACCCCGTTCTGGAAATAATGCCTTGATGCTGAAAGAGTGGCCACCATTCCTGTGATCATTCAGTAAGAGCAATTAGAAGGCAGTCAGTGTGTTGCAGTACATTATACTCCTCCTAATTGTGTAGCTATTCAGGTACATCCTTGCAGCAGTCTGCTCGAAACTGGCGTCCCTTCCCTCCGAAGCAGCTGAGGGCATGCTGGGTGACGGGGTGCTTCTAACGTGGACTGACACACCTTACTGGCAGGGCTGTGTCTTAGGGATTTTATGTAGTCATGCCTAGTGCCTCCTCTGTCAGGTAAAACCAGGATCTGTCTGTGAAAGCTGGGGTCTTGTAAACTCTAATTAGAAAGTTGATCATCTCTGGAGCTCTCATCTGCTTCAGTGTCAGCTCCAACAGGGTTTGCAGAAACTGTGCTAAGAAGTTCTGACCGAGTGCTACTGAATCTCCTCATTTCCAGGAAAAGAGGGCAAGTTAAGTGAGAGATGTGAGAGCTGGCTGAATTCTTACTGAGGTGGCCTGGCCCTCGGATGGGTTTAGTTGTTGTTTGGTTTTGTTCCCACCAGCCGTCCTGTCCAGCATGGCTGGATGAGCTGGAGCTGCCAAGGCTCAGAGTCATTCCCACTGTCCCTCACAGCCCTTGCTCTCCCTGCCAAAGATGCATTAATCTGGTCCTGCGGTTCTCACCGGCCTGGACGGTACCTGTTGCGTAAGCACATGCAGCTTTGCTGCTTTTGAGAAATACAGGAGGATTGACAGCTGCTCTCTGCATGGGTCAGGTTATTTACAGCAAACCTTCCTGCAGTTTTCTAACAGCTGTAACACGTATTCCAGCACATCATTAATGTACTGTCTGTATTTCCTCCTTGACAGCTCTCCAGACTGCTTTCTTTTCAGCTTATTACCAGTTCTGCCCATTGCCATATTTGGTGTGTTTTTTGGTCTTTGACATTTTTTTCTGATGCTATTGATTTTTACCTTGTAATTATTTATTTCAGTAAGTTGAACTTTCTCATTTCCTCTAGGTCTCTCTCCAGGTCTTTGTTGAGAAAATAGGGCAGGGTTTTTATGTTGTCATCCCATAAATTTGCTTTCAGGCTTATGAAACTTGACAGCTTCCTTTTTAATAATCTGTTTTGGGCAGGAATAATGAGGACGAGGTAGTATTTCCAAAACAGTTTGAAGAATGTGAAACACTGCAAAGGTATCTGGAGTGACTTCACACTTTTATCACAGAGTTGACAAAGCTGATTTTCAATGTTGATTTACAGGAATACTTTTACAGTAACATTACTTACATTTTGTTTTATAGAAAATGTTAACATTTCTAATTTTTGGCTGAATGTAAACTAGCATGTAAATTAAAATTGCAATTAAGTAAGAGTGACAAATACCTTTTTTTCACTAAATAGCTGTCATTTGGAGGAATCTAATGCTAGATTTAAGATTTCAAGCTTGGTGTAACAAAGGACCAGGTGAGGATGAGATGTCCTTACTCTGAACAGTAACATCTGTACTGTATGTCTGTATAAAACACCTGCCTTGTCTGGTATGGTGCGAACACCCTAAAAAGGTGAAGAAGTGTCAAAAGTTTTTAGTTTCCTGATGTAGTGGCCACAGTTAGCAAGGCTTATTTCCTTACGCCTGATAGCTGTGTGATAGCTGGCACAGCTAGTGATGTGGGTTTTTTATGGTGGTTTTTTCAGTGGTTCCAAAATATGATAAACACAATGAAGAAAACGGCTTTACACTTGTACATGATATTTCCAAGCTTATCCTTAACAGTCAACACAGAAGGTGGATTTTGCCAACAATATCCAGTTGTCTCTCACATTAGCAGCCTTGTCAATTGGACTGTGGTGGACGTTTGATCGATCACGAAGTGGCTTTGGTCTTGGAGTGGGAATTGCTTTCCTGGCCACATTGGTGTCACAACTTCTGGTCTACAATGGAGTTTATCAGTGAGTAGTTACTCCTGTAAGGTTGAATGATAGTCTCCTGAAGGTGTAACATAAAATCAGAATAACTGAAAAGGTAGAATTTGACATGATTTCCAAAGCTGCCAGCACTTAATTTTGAGTGTGACATAAACTGGACTGTTCATGAAAGTGAGACTTTTAGTTGGTAGTTGCTTATTTCAATAAAATTGCTACCTTACCAACAATGTATCGTGCTTTTTTTAGTTAAACAAATGGGATTGTAATCAAAAAACCTCCTTTGTTACTTGCTGCGAGTAATTAAATTTCTATAATACATGTCTTTATGAGTTGAAATGTCCTAATGTTTAAATTTGTGGATTTGTCTCACGTGATTGGAGGAGCCTACTCATTGCATAATGCTGAACTCAAAAATGTGTGTTCTTTTCTAGATACACGTCTCCGGATTTCCTTTATGTTCGCTCCTGGTTGCCGTGTATATTTTTTGCTGGTGGAATAACTATGGGCAATATCGGCAGGCAGCTGGCAATGGTAAGTTTGGGGGGGGGGTGTGTCAATTGCCTTCTAGTACAAGTTTTAGGCTACATGTCGTTCCTTCCTTCTTGTGTGCCAACCAGCTATTTGACTTGTGGATGTGGAGTAAGGTGGAAATCAGTAATCATTGCTTTTTGATCTAGTTAGTGAGCTGTTGGTACTGTTACTCGGAGTACAGCCCGTGACTCTGCTCGGTGCTCCTGGTTGCATAGTTCTAGTCTTTTCAGGACCAGGAGCTAAATAAGAGCTCCTGTGTTTGGTGAGGAGTCAGGCCATCCCCTAAGTCTGAACTGTTCTTTCTGCTGCTTGAGGAGACAGAAATTGCAGCCAATAGTGCATGTGCTGAACTCAGGGAGACCAAACTTACCTGGGTGCAGTGTAAGCTAAGCTATTCTATCGCCCGTTTTGTAGAAGGATCACCCTCATAGCAGTCTTTCTCATTAGTTACGTAAATTAATATTATTAATTTTGTCAACTTCTGTTTTTCAGTATGAATGCAAAGTCATTGCAGAGAAGTCTCACGAGGACTGAGGAGAAACAGTGTGCACCTTTTAAACAGGAAAATATCTGACAAATGACTGTTGGAGGAGCATAAGGAACACTTGACTATGAAATTGCCAAAATGCAATTTTTTTTTCCCTTGAGTGGTATACTTTACTGCAATCTGTGATTGCTGCTTCTATAGAAACCTTGATGTCTGATTTTGATTACTGTGAAGTCACAATAGTATGCAATACCTTTGACAATACTGGTTCAATTATAGGATTCTTTTTTCCAAATCTAATCTTGTCTGTCCATAACGTTGCAGTGCCAAACCGAACCTTTGCACTACGTTTCTGCAGCTGAAACTTCTGCTTCACTTTACTTTGAAAGTTTTGAGGAATTTGTTCTTAATAGCTCAGTGAAAGACAGGGAATTCAGATTTAGGAATGAAGATCATCTCTTTCCTTGATGATAGCCCGTAATATCTTTATGAATTCATGGATTACAGGTGAGGTTTGATGCAATAAGTAACTGACTTCTGCCTATTAACACGCTGTATCAGTCTTACATCACAGGTGAGGAAAGCTAATACAGATTGCATGGGTTATTGCCATAGCATGTCAGTTGTGTGTGGTATGTGCCCAGTATCACAGGACACAGAAATGGAAACCAAGGCTGGAAATAATTTCCTATTTTTGCCCCTGGTACAACCAGTGTATGTGTTTGTGTATGAATTTGTGGACCATCATCAGATGTGGACAGATTCTGAAACTGCTTGTTGTGTTGAGTCACAGGATACAATTAGGGTCATTCTTGTACAATCCCTTAAGCTGACTTCTGTTGTTACCTTATTAAAAAAAAAATCTTAGGGAGTTTTTATTATGAATCTTAATTCTGCTGAACTGAATCAGCCACTACTATATAGTGTTGTAAAACACTCCGTTACCGATGCTGCTCTTGGTAGTTCTTGTGTGCTACCTGTTCTGCTCACAGGGATCAGCAGAACGAGGCAAGGCTGTATTTTAGGTACTGAGGTAAACTTACTGCCGTGACTATGGTCCAGGCAACCATAAATGCATTTGTTCTTATAGCAGTTTTCTGAGGTAAGGGAATACTGTTACCCCTGTTTTACAGGTGCATATGCACAGAAGGTCTGTTAGGACAGAGAGCTGAAATAGGCTGTGTGCTAATATGTTCCCTTCTTAAGAAGGATTTTAGTGTGTGACCCATATTTGGGGGCGTACGTGGAATTTCCTCTTGGATTTGCGGCTCCCTTTTAAGACCATGAGATGAAAGAACTTGTGCAAGAAGGCAGAAAGCAGACTTCAAGAGGACACTGCTAACCTGTGCCAGCAGTGAATTTGGCACAGGATGTCTCCGCTTTGTTTTCCCCCTTTTGTCTCTGTGTTGATGTTTTAATGTATTTGTTTTCCTTTTTTTGTCTTGAAGTACTATTTTTTAAATCTTCCATGAAAGGTTTCTAAGATGTGTACAGTTACCTAGGGAGGCTGGAGTTGGTCCAAAGAACAAATAGATGTTTAGACAAGTTTTTATTAATAAATGTGTGTATGCATTGTACACAAGGCTCGAAATAGGCAACTCTTTTTTCAGTCTTGTATGCTTATCTGTAAGTCTGAAAAGTATGCAATGGAGTGCTGCTAAAAGCGTTGGAACAAAAGAGGTGATCACAAAAGGAAAATTTCTTCAATGGGGAAGTGTAAAAATAATAAATAAGCAAATGCCGCATGACGGGCTTGGTTCTGCAGCTCCACAGAGTTCCGTCAGCTTGTCACGGTTCCGTGACAATGCAACACCTGAAGCACCTTCCGTTGGGTGGTGTGTCGGGAGAGCACGCACGGGTGCGCTTGGCTTTAAGCAGAGGTAGAACATGCTTAAGTAGATCCCCAACTAGAGACTTTCTTTTAACCAAACCGTACACCAATAAGAAGCATTTTATTAATAAAATCAGGAGACTGTTAGGGCATGAACTAAGGGTGAGTTTCTTGAGGCAGGCTCTGGCATTTCACTGAGGAAGCTGTTGGGTCCCTTTCCATACAGTATTTTGCCTCATCAGCCTTCGTTACTTAAATGGCTTCAGCTTGGTGGGCAGCATGATGAGTCCCTCTTGAATTATCAGGGCATGAATGGCATGAAAATTCAGATATTTCTTATCCTAGCTGTACGGAATAACATGGTACCTCAGTAGGCAGTGTGCTGACTTGGTAAACAACTTAGTTTCATCATGACCAGTAAGTGTATACAACTGGAGATGAGTTGTTTTTATTATTCAGTTGGTGGTAGAACTGCTTTTACCTGCCAGTATAACTATTTACACAGAAGGATCCTTGTGTGTGTTAAAATGTGCAGTATGTGAGAAGTGGTTCTTGTGCGCCTGTGGCACCCACTCTGCAACACTTTGCACTCAGATTCATCTAAACCTCACTAGACTGTGCTGTCCACTAACTTCTTTTCAATTTCATTTGGGAAATTTTGAGCATGTTGTGCAAAGGCAGCAGTCATCCAAAGTGAATTTGGGTGGAGTCGTTTATTATATGTGTTTTACTATTCTTATTTGACTAAAGTCAATACAGGATTCACATCTTGGATATTATATTTTTTCAAACTGCATTGTAATTTTATGGCTGATGTGTTCAAACCCGGGAAAAGGTTCATGATGAGAATGCTGACACGGCCTTAACTGTAGTGGTGTGAACATGCTGCTACTGCGTAGTGTGTAATTATAACATTAGACTGTCTTAAAAATGTTGTTCAATAGAGAATGAATAAGGTATATTTTAGATACAACTTTATAAGCACTATAACGTCTTCACTAATTAAGCATTGTAAGGTCTATACTGTTTAAACTGGCAAATTGCTGTTAAAAGCAAAATGTACATTAAATACAATTACAACCTTGCTTGATAGGTTTCTTCTTTCTTTAAAAAATGATGCTGATTTTAAAAATACACTGAATTGCCTTCTATCAGCAATCTCTTAATAATTTTGACCATTGAGCTGGCATATTGGTTGCACAAAACACCTGTCTAGAAATACTGAAAAAGAAGCAGGCGAGATGGAATCAGCAGTGATTCTCTCGTCATTAGCATGCTGAGCAGCCTTTGAAAATTTGCCCTTCTGGATCTGCAATGGGTATATTTGAGCTGGGGGAAAATAAGCCAGATATCTTCAGTTGCAATACAGAAAATAGAGATTTAGCTATTAATAGACACTATGAATATGAAAAAACCCACCACGCATGGAAGGGAATCCCTTAATATAAATATATTTATTAATGTTCCGGTCTGGATATGAACTGAATGTCATTCTGGTGTTCACAGACTGTCCGTTCATAGTGCCCATCGCCTCGGAAAAGATGTAACAGAGGTTTAGAAATGGGTAATGAAAAAGCCTCCAGGCAGAGGTGAAGGGTGCAAAGAGAGGTTCATCAGTATTTGAGATGCGGTGCCCACAGCAGGACAGCACCACAAGTGAAAGTTGGGAAGAGCGCAGGGGGTGAATGGAAAAGACCTGTGTTTGTGTTGGATGGGGCAACCTGTGACCCAAAACCCCAAACTCTGTAGTCAAAATGCAGAGCCCTGGGCATGCCAAGTGTCTGATCAGAGGAATTGCAGACAAGGTGGAAATAACCATAATTTTACGTAGTCGTGGCCCTGATGTCGGTCAAAAGCACACGGGCAAAGGTGCTTTGTTAGAGGCTTAACCTCTCCCTTTCCTCTGGAGCCTCTCCGTGAGAGCATCACCCTGGGGAAGGGAAACTCTGGGTCCTTCCTGCCCAAGTTCAGCCTGAGGGTATCAAATGGAAAGTTGCCCATTTCAGAAAGAGTATTCTGACTGTCAGGCTCACGTGAAACGCATCTTGTGCTTCCCTGTGTAATGTGGCTGCTGTAGGCAGCTAGAAGGAGAGTAAACAAAAGAATCTTCTGCTCTGTAGCTTCTGTACTTCTGCCATCTGGCTGGGAGGTGCCACAGGGACCTGTGGGCACACGCCAGCCTTCCCTTTTTATCTCTCCTGGCATGTAAGGAAGGGACACGATTTTACCAGCTGCGTCACCCCGGACATACTGCATATGCTTTTTATATTTTGGAGCAGTGTTACCAATAACTCCTAATGGTAACGGATGAATATAACCTGTGGAAGTGATGTTAAATATCAAATACAGTGCTTATGAAAGTGCATGCACAGCTGGGCAGAGGGAACGCGTGTCTCGCTGTGGGAATAGCTATCTAATGCTGTTAGTTTTGATGCCAGTACTAAATGCAAAGCATGAGTAATTTTGCAGCTTAATGTTCAGTACTAAACAGTAAATGAAAGGTCAGTCCAACATGTTAACTGTCATGGAATAGTAAACACTACTTTAATTGCTTCATGCAGCCAGCCTGGATTTTTGGTGTGTCTGTTGTCATGTTTTGAACAGCATGGTCCAGAGTCTTGTCCTGATTACCTCCCCTCGGTCAAATGACAAAGCCTCAAATTAAAGGATAAACTTTATGCCTGGGCTTTTCAGGCAGCATACTGGGAGTCTGTGCTTTGAATACTTAAAAGCCGCACTGGGGAGGTGGTAGGGGTCATTTCTTGATCTGATTGGAGCCGGAATCCAGGTTGAAACACTTCTGCATTTTCTTGAAGTTTTTCTTTCGTGCTCTTTGTTTCTGAAGCGCCAAAGTTTAGCAGCTCCTGATGCACTTTCACACTTACTCCTTAGCCTGCCCAGCACTGCAGCAGATAGGAAACAACATACACAAATGAGAAAGCATATAAAGAGAAAGGGCTGCTACCAAGATTCCCCAGGCCAAGCCAGTTGAGAGCTCAGTGGTGTCCAGTGTGCCCTGTGCATCAGTGCCAGGCACACAAAACCTGCAGCGTTCCCAGAGCAAAGTTCATAGGATTCACTTTCTGTGCTGGCAGCAGTTCTGCCTTGACTTTTGCACTTAAAAACCTCTATGCAGGGAGTGACTTGTTGTACTGTAGTTATGCAGGGGCACGTGCACATGCACATGTTGCAGAGTATTCACAATGGCAAAGTCCCCAGGTATAGCCAGAAGGTCTGCTTTTTTTTTGAATGTGTTGGTAGAAATCCTGAAATTCTGCCTTTTAAGGAAATACAGCGAAATATTTGTTGAAAAGAAATCTGTATTTATAAATATGTTGCTGTCTGAATTCACAATGTAATTCTAGTACTTCTGTTCTTTGATGAGTTCAACGTATACCTTGTGTTACATGAGTCAAACCTACGTTTCAGGTACATATTTGGTAATCGGACCTCAAAGCAAGATTTGTTTCATGCAATTATTCAGGGAAAATGTGTGAACTAAAAGAAGGCAGGGAGGAATAGGGTTGTAGCTTAATTCACTGGGTAGAAATTTTGCAAGGAGAAGCTCCAACATTTTGCAGAACGTTGCAGGAAAGAAAAGGACAGTAAGTGATTGTTCTGATTTCATCCTGGGTTTCAAAACAGGAGGGGAAGGGGAGCCTTACAGATGCAGTGCATTTGTGTTGACTTCTGATCTTCAGCTGTTCTCCAAAAGCA